ATCTTGGTCATAGTCGGAACCGACGAGCATTCGGTAGTGATGTATCCTTGTTCATGTTGCACCTCGGTGACCACCTGTCGCATGACCGAGCGTTCGTGGCTTGAGCAACTTGAACATAGCCACTTCAGCGATTACATAGAAATCACTACACCACAAATCGCACATTTTGCCAAATTGCGCCTCGCCCGCGATCTCGGCTGGTGCCAGTCCACAACGCGAAACTTCCGCTGGTATCGCGTCTTGAGCCGTTTGTATCGTGTTGGTACGGTTTTGGCGTAGGCCAGTGCCTCCGCCACCTTGTCGTCAGAGCTTGTAGTCGTGTCGCTCATAGCCGCTTCGTCATCCGAGGACACTAAGTTAATAATCTGGCTAAGTGACAATCGTTTGAAAATTTCCTCGCGTTGACTCGATTGTTTGTTGTTGATTGCAGGTCTGTTGCCTCCGTTACGTCGATATCCGTAGCGCTGAACCTCGGCAAAAAAAACCAAATCGGGTTCAGGCTCTTCCAAACTGGACCTTCATGAATGAGAGCTCTCGGAAACAATTTCCTCGCGCATTTGACGAAGTGCCTCGTAAGTGACTTCGATAGAAGTTTGCACTGCACCTTGAAGGGCCATATTCAGCTCGCTGGACCGAGACGGAGCCGAAGGTCAGATGATACGTCCGTAGTTTTCGCCACTTCGTGGCTTCTGGGGAGAATTCGTTGCCAAACTGGTCTCCCACACGCTTTACCATCATGTCGGTAGGTAGGGAGTCTTCAGTGTCGACAGAGACCGGATACTCGACACCTTATGTGGCATCAACTCTCGTTACCACGCCAACGCGGTGTCCTCGTGCGTCGCCAGCCACGAATGCGCGGCAAAAATACTTATATCTATCCCCTGCACATAGGGTCTCCAGTTGGAGCTCCAAAGCGCTGACCCCACCATCGTCAACGTGCGTGTGCTGGACGCGCAATCAGCGGTAGCTGTAGGTGGCTGCCAGCCCCAGGAAGATACTGATGTGGTGTGGAGCATTTATGGCGGTTGTTGCCCGAACCACACGTCCACATTCAAGTAACATTGCATTTCGATTGCATGGTGACGCAACAGCGTCACAAGTGTCTGTACGCGCACAGGCGCACTCGAGAAGGGTCAGCTTGTCTGCACTGTCCGTGCATATTGTGGGAGATGGGTTATTGTGTTGGCCAGATTTCTACGTGTAATTATTATATTTCCTCCAACACGATACGCTCAACTTGTCGCATTAGTTTTTTTTTGTTATGTGGCATCCCGGTGGCATTCTAAGGAAATAGATAAAAATCTATTGTTGTTACTTTTTGATGATTGTAAAATACGAACCTAAAGTCCACTGAGGTGGCTATTAACCGTAGCACTGTTAGTATAGTTGGTGGTTCCCTATTCTGGCATACCGTCCAAGCCTTAAACCAGCAAAAAATATAGATCTGCGAATGTACTTATCCTAGTCATACGTATATTGTCAATAAAAAGTGAAAGCAAAGAAGTCCTATCATGAGCTTCTATCCTTGATTTGAAGATCCAGAACAGGCTGTTCGACAGCAAATCTGCACCAGAGCTTGTTGGTAGATAACGGTACATACAACAGTGCCAATTCGGAATCTGCTTCTCATAGAGTAGGAAAGACGCCGCAAATCTCGTTCAAGAGATTCGACCATGCATCTCCATCGCGTTTTGTTGATGACTGTGGTCTCCGTTCTGGCCAGTAGCAGTCCTCTTGTGGCGACGAAGGAGACCAGCGTTTCACTCTTGGATTATACTGCAGTCAAAGGCCATGATGCCATCAACAGGGGGAGAGCCCTGTGGGCCGCCAAGCATCCGACGAGATCGACAATGTCGCCGGTGAAGAACACTTGCCCGATGTAGAAGAAAGGGCTAATTCGATATCTACTTCTATAAGGGAGACTGCTGAGACCTTCGCTTTGTCGGTGAAGACTACGGTGTGGCTTGAACAATACAATTCTGTTGATTACGTCCAGGACAAGTTGGGTATGCATGGTTTGACAGGAATTGAACTAACGACGCACAAGAACTACAATTAATTGGTGAAGTACGTGACAAAATTGAAAGAAAACATCAAGTGGAAAAAGGTTCACAGAGACGTAAGCACATACACGGTGTGGAACGAATTGCATCTCAACCAAGACGTAAAGCTCAAACCACAGTCAAAAACGTGGGACGACATTTCAAACGATGATATTCTTGCTGAGCTCGTGAAGATCAAGCAGAAGGAAACGTTCGAGGACTACAGGGAATATGCTATTGCGTTTGACAGCTACAAAAGTAATCTGTTTGGCTCTGGATATTATCGACCTACTTTTTTTCGACAAGAACGCTACACCGTTGGAAAAGATGGCGAGAATTCAGATTTGGGTGGAAACAAAACGGATTTTCGGTACGTACAGAAATTCTTGGGTTGATGAACGCAAAGAAAGAGAAGCTCCAGAAGGACCGATTTTTCCAGTTCTATTTAAAGGAATTGGAGAAGGTACCATCAAGTGGTTAGAGCAGATTTCCTTTTTGGGTCACCCTAATATACTTATGAAACTCAACCAGATATTACTCGTATCGGCAATGCTGTCGCACTATCAATGGACTTGAGGTCATCACCTCCAACAGCAATGAACATTTCGTTGCACCATGAAGCGCACCCGATTCTATCACCGAAACAACGAATTTTATCATTGGATCATCTGTCTCAGTGAAAACATCTCCTCCTGAATCAAGAAAACATCGTTTCCTTCGGCGCTGGTGATAGAATCTCGCTATATTCGCACGCGAGGATGCTCTATGCGAATCCAACATGCGGTGCAACCGTAATAGGTTAGAATCGCTGTAAAAGCGCTTGTATACAGCAATCCCCTTCACTTTACGTTGTTTTCAAAGATTGGAGTAATGGTAGCCATTCATTTCTCTCTCCCTTATTCCTGTCATGGACACAACGAGGAATATGCGAATCGAAGTGCAGAGATATCAAAGATCATGCTCTGGTCGTTCGATGTTCAGTTGTTTTACAGCGTGAAGTTCGTCACGTTGTATGAAGCGCCCTTGTCTTAATAGGAAAAGCTTATACAGTCAGCTTCATCGGCAGCTTAGTCGACATTAATTTAAAGCCAAACCACCCCATTTACTACAAAAAAAAGGAATCTGTCCTTGCTGGACTCGGATTCAATGCGGAGGGAGACCTTCCGGAGACGGAACCACGCGAGCTCTACCGGGGATAGCCTCATAAATTGACTGAATCGTGTGACCCCTAATCTGATTATCGAATACCTTGTAAGCAGTGCTCTTACAATAAAAAAAATGAACTTCAGCGATGAGGTCCTCATACTCGACGAGATACTCGCAACCCGCCAGATTGAAGCGTTGGCTTGCGCAGCCGATCAGGGGAACCTTGAGCCGAGTAGCGATAGCCTTGTTCGTCGGGCAGTTGTCGCCGACGTCGAAGCGCAGCATCTCTCGGTTCTTTTCGTATACATCAAGAACGTTGTCGATCATTTCGATGTGATCATCGGCCGACTGCCCATCCTTAGCCATCGAAATAGACAGCAGAGGCTGTCTCCGCACGCCGTCGCGAACACTAACGCCGAAGATGCCAACAAAGTGGACTGTTCCGCAGGTCCATCCGTCGAACATCAAACCGAAGCTGTCCCCGAGAAGCTCAGCGTCGGCAGCACCCACTTTCGAGGTCACGTGACGCATGTGGCGAAGAAGCGTCTGGGATGACACGGGCTTA